CGCATCGTGTGAAAACCTGTCCAGTTCACAGCACGTAAGGGTTCTAAACAATTTTTCCTCTTTTCGTGTGGACTTGTTGTTTGTCTGGACAAAATCTAGCTGCAGCGTGTTCTAATCAGAGATATGGTTCGCTTCCAAATTGAGAAGATTTCGTTGTCAAAACTAGTGTTTCTGCTATTTCAAATTATTGCACATAAGGAAGCTATGGAATGGTGATCAAACCGTCCGTGCAATTGGCGAATTTCAAATAGAAGCAACTCCTAATCAGTATATAATTGCGGTGTTTAAAACAACCTACATTACATGCGCGAGAACTTGTCGGACAATAAGAAAACAAGATATTTTGAATTCTAGTTGGAGTTTATACAAAGTTCTTCACTTGATAAGGGTGTTGCACTCTATTTTTCAATAGAGAATCCCACCCAATTCAGATATTTGTCCATCGTTTAGGGATTTTAATGTACTCCATCTCATAGAAATTACAGATCTGTTGTCGAAGAAATTGGCTGGCCCTTTCTCAGCGGACACTTCAAGCCTGTGCTTGCACTTGGTCTGCTTATGCATTAATCCGTGCGAACATTCCGTTCTTTGTAAAACATTGTTTTAAATGCGAAATAGCTTCATCCAACTTGGAACTTTTTCATTATCCTTTTTAAAGAGAGATGGTTATAGAATATCTAAAAAGGAGCCTTTTTTAATATTACCGTATAAGAAACTCCTGTCCCTGAGACACTAAATATTTATTTTTTACTGTTACGTTATTGCTTGTTGTCTTCAATTCGGAGCTCTATATTCATTGCATAACGTACCTGCATCTAGAGGATCTAGAGGAGAATTGAAAGTTGTTACATGTTCACTTAAGGAGGAATTTATGGAAAGGAAACATGAAATGACAAACAGAGTTAACAACTAGTTAATTAGTAAATATGTAAATATGAATAATTAAAATTAGATAAAAAATAAAATCATGTACTACGAGCGTTAACGGGTTTTAATGATCGAGCGACGATAAAAAGCGCGAGGACCGAAGACTCTCGGGCTTTTTGCCACCCGAGATCATTAGAATCCTTGTAACGTCCTTGGTACATAAATAACTATTGATAGCCTAAGCCGCATTGTTCCGATTTATGCGCAATGGCGATGTGTGCTGTGGCATAATGTGTGTTGCGAGTAGCACGTGCGCCTACTCTTTTCCCTACGTTATAATTGGCGCACGTGTCTTCGCTTACATCAGTTCGTTGCAAGCCTGAGGATAATTCTCTGCCCAGAAGAAACAGGTTTACGAGGTTTTGTGACGATGCTTTCTTTTAAATGCTTCAAAACCGTCGTTTGTTGTGTAGGAAAGATGGCGGTTTTGGGCATCCAGTTTACACAATTCGACTGCTCTTTTATGTCGGAGTTAATTTTTCTTTCTGAACAAGTATATTCATTTCTTTTGTAAATAGTAAACAATTTACATGTTTCCGGAAAGTTTATGTTTCTGAAATGCAAATTTTTGCAGAGAAGTTAATTTTTCAAACAAACTTTTCAGTTCTTTTCAGTTACGGCTCAGCCATTCGAAATATCCAAGTAGTTTATTAAACATAATATGCTTAAAATTGTCTTAAGAGCTTATTTTCCGCATTTCCTCGTTTCCTCCCCAGACACTATATGAAGTTACACGCGAGGCGTTTGCCCCTGATTATTAGGCAACTTCCGATGCACCAGTGTTCGGCAGGTCACGGTCTGACACAGTCAAAAAGAGTTCCAGCACCAGCCCCTGTGCAGTTGGGAGCAAATGACATATACGTTACTAGTTTGTGTATTTCCGACCACATGTTCATTGGCGAAAAGTGATCCGTTTCGACCCCTTTACGTTTATAGATCAGGGAAACGACCAGTCAGGGCAACCTGCATTTACAATTGTATTCCAGGAAGTTCTACATTCAGTAACTTATCCGCTTCCGAAAATCTGCTATTACCTGGTCACGATTTCATAGATTTCCGTCTCTATAGCTAGGTAGCCATGTCGAATTCAAATGTCGTTTGAAGGAGAATATTGACAACCGGCTACTCTGATCGGTAGTTTTCCATAGATACTCCCATCATTACCAGGTGAATGCCTTGACGAACAGGCGGTCTTCAGTTTTAGGGTTATGGGCATGACTGTAATGATTAACATTGAGAAATGCTGAGGCCGTATTTAAGATAAAATCATGTACTTACCTCAGACTACATATGAAAGACAGTTTACCCCAGGCCTTTCCAAAACTGAGGCACCGGGACTTTGTCGATAACAGGATGCCATCGCGGTCCCGCGCAGCAACTCTCCAAGCCCCTTTGAGCAGCGCGAGGCACCGTCGCCAACTGCTTTCTCAACAGACCACGCGGATACCTTTTCTTTTCTCAATCGTTATGTCGCGGACTCTTCCACCCGTGAAATTAAAACGAAGGGTGTTTCCAATACATTCAAACTGCCCCAATCAGGGCGGTGTATCAAAAAATGTATCGCTTTTTCTACCCGATTTTTCTTACCGCTTCTTCCCATTGGCGCATCATTAACTGTGACTCATCTATCTTAGGTGGCGGTACATCGTCGCTGTGTCGCATGTTATTTTAACATGGCTTTCAGCTATTTTCAATATTTGGCGTATTTTGGGACTCTGATGGACATAATTTCATTCGTTGAATAGTCCTATTAAATACCACTTGTGCTTTGGAAATTCTCAGACAAATCCTCTCCTCGCTTCGCAAGTCGGGAAGTTATCGACGTTTTCCAAAGTACTAGTGGTATTACCTATGATAACGTTCGCGAAAGGAATAACATTTTGTAAAAGCAGTGATGCCGCTGCGATTTTAGTATGGCGCTACAGGCCCCCGTAGAGTGGGAAGCGTTGAGAGGAGAGGAAATGAGAAGGAAGAGGAATGAGGGCAGTAGGGGGCCCTGCCGACATTTTTCCGAGCCACAATGCGCCGAATTCAGCTCGTTGGGCATGATACATTTAGGTTACTTTACATCCCATTGAAAAATGGCATTGACAAAAAAAATCGATACACACGTTAAATCCCAAATACAATATTTTTTGCTGCATCACTGTTCCTAAGCAATTCCACGCTCTACTAAGCATAGGAAATGTATATATTTTTTCTATCAATGATTTTATTGCAGTCGTTTCCATTAAATGTAAAATTTTGTAATGTAAATTCTAAACATATCAGTAACAAGTATAGAACTCAGCTTTTGGTCAATGTCTCCTATGCCAATCAATTTTTTTATGTTTCCCTTGATCCATTTTGCAAATATTGAGATGGCCACCATGTTTTACTTCTGGGAAAGAAAAAAAAAATTAATATATGACTGACATGAAATACGAAATTTGCGTACGTTTTCTTGAGCTTTGGGGGTCTTAGGGCGGAATACAGTTATTTCGTAAGCGGGACCATCAAAAATCCTTCTCGCTTCCTTCTCGTGGGGAACTACAAGGAATAAAAACGAAAATCTCTAATTGTTTTACCGCTGCAAATATTTTATAATTCATGGGAGTTAATATTTCTTGTTATCAAATTTTGCAAAGGACGCTTATTTCTGGTTCATTTGTTATTCAACTTACTTATACGAAGACAATAAAGGATGAAGAGTAGAGTTTCCGTAGCTCAAGAAAACGTAGACAAATTATGAAGTGCCCAGATAGTACTTTGTATTTCTCCCCCATATGTCATGTTTTAACTGAATGTTCACGTGTAATAAATCATTAACTAATTACTAGATGTGCAAGAAAAATGTATTTTATTGATTAATTTCAATTACTTGTTGCTCTGAACTATAGAAATATGTACCATGCTTCTTGACAACATAAAACTTTTGTCGTCTTTTACTAATTCTTGTATGCAAATTGTACAGTAATAATATTTTACAAGTCCGTGTAATTTTCCTCAAGTCCTATGATTTTCAAGAGTAAGGGCTATAGAAAAAGTTCAACTAAAAACATAAAATATTATTTGTGATGTCTAGACAAGCCATAATAATTAGGGGGCGTATTTTAATGAAATGTATTTTTTTATTAATGTATTTTTTTCTTTTCACGTTGGAATATTGCCTTTTAGTTTATACAATAATTTTTACCTTTTCTGTAATTATTAAAGCATTTTGCACTGATTTAGTTGATTTTTCTATTATTTTAATGGTACTTCGTTCAATTAATATTTATGAGGTGCAAAAAATTTTCTCCACAGAATTCCTGAGTAGCCTTTTCGATTTCTTCGCTCGATTGTAATGTCAGCCGTTTGTAGTATATACTCTAAGGTTCCTGTAACGCCTATCAGCGCCATTGTCAGTTCGACCGATTTCGGGTACAACTAAAGGCAGAGAGTTTCTGGTAAAGAGCAGACTAAACCAAACGTTTGCAAGCTGAGTACCCTTTAACGAAAAAAGAAGCCTCGATTACATCAGTAATATATCCAGCAGCTTGAGTTGTTCATCTGAATTGGTTTTCATATTTTTACGTCATTTTTCTTTACGTTTAGGGCATTAAAAATTTTTAAGAGCATTTTATTAATCTTTTTTGGGAGATGGTTTAGGTCATCAAAATCCGCCTTCTAGTAACAATGATTGAACTTGTAGCTGTTCCTAACCTTAAGAAATAGAACAAATTTGTGTATTCCTCACAAACAGTCCTCACAAAACATCATTTTACACAATTTATTTCACACAGGTTAACAAATATCAGTACTATTTTAACGAGGCTTTCTCATTCAGTACTGCATTGCAACTATGCTAAAAGAATGCTATTTTAAAGTTAGGAATACATTTATTACTCTAGAAGTTTATACTTCTGAAAGGTGAATTAATGTCCACGACTTTCCCTTTAGCTTGCATTAAGAATACTGTTTTGAATACATATAATTATATAATAATTACATAATAACATAATAAATTAACCAATTACTTAATTATCCAATGATTTAATTGTGTGCGAGCTTTACACCGTGTGTTGCCGCCCGCAGGCCCGGTGACGGTGCCGATGGTGTCCACCAACTCGACGCCGCCCATCCCGATGCCCGTGCAGGTGCCGCCGGGCCACGTGGTGCAGCAGATCGTGGACGAGATCGGCACCCTGCGCCACATCATTCTGTCGCCGCAGGCCATGGTGCACCTGCCGCCCGCGCCCTTCGTGAGTACACTGTCAGAAATTCCCGCTTTGCTTCGATTAAATTACATTACAGTATTTATCGCGAACGCGCATTACATTGAATGCACGCATGTACATTAGGACGCAAGGGTCAAAGCTTTATGGTCATATCTGGAATGAACGAATGAATGAACGAACGAACGAACGAACGAACGAATGAATGAATGAATGAATGAATGAATGAATGAATGATCTTGATGCACTGGTGATAATGATTATAGGATATGAATGATGAGAGGTAGGGGAAACACGAGAACGTGCATTTTAAATCTCCATTGATTTTAACTTGTACTTTAAATTTTATGTACTAATATATTAAGCACTTTTTAATGTAGCAGGTTACATTAAGTTTTATGTACAACACGTATTTCTTCATTAGATTTCATGACATTTCTGACCATGTAGCCTATTCACCGCTCAGCGGCGCTCTAGTCCAGCTGATTCAGTGCGGGGCCGTTCAAAAAATACGTTGGCCCGTTTGGAGAGAAAGGTTTTCACACACTGCCGAAAGCAGAACGAGGTGTGGTACTACAAATTATCGTTTTTACAATATCTAGTTGTAAAACAGTGTACTGGCGATCAACCGAGGTTTCGGCTTAACCCAGACAAACATCGGCAAGAAGCATTAAATTAGTCATTGATAAACGGAACACAGAAGGAAGTAAATGAGTTCTTGCAGAAGAAGCTAACCGACGTATGCGTTATGCGACGCCGGTGCAGATTCTTTGAATGTTCGGACCAGCTGAATTCGATAACTCATCGGATTCGCTTGTCAAACATTGATATTCACTTGTCAAATCGGATTATCCGAGCTTTTTTGTATCACACGTAATCTCGGTCCCGATTATCTCGAATAGTCATCAATATATCGTGCTTTAATTTTAACTAAAATTACCGCACACTACAAATTAAATATTACTAAACTTGTTTGTAGAACTTCGAGTTGGACGTTAATTTTATCCGGTTTAATTTTGAAGTATGCTTCCAGGCTGTTGTTCATTCGTACACTATCACCCATTTTGAATAATGTGAAGTTTAACCGGTTAAATCGCGAATTATCCAGTTTACTTTGGCCGTAATATATACTTCCTAAGCAACAAACAGAACTGTCTTGAAGGGGAAAGAGGAACTAGAGGTGCTACAGAATGGCGCAGACTTTCTCGCATTAGGTATTCTAAAATCTGTTGCCTGGACTAGGTTTTCGATATTGCTCCACCGGAAAGCTAGTCCATTGCACCTCTTCTCAGCTCCTACTTTTAGCACCTACAAGACATCTCTCATTTTCTCAATTTCTCGGACCCGTAATAGTGGAATTAAAATATGACTTTAATGAAACTTTAATGAAAAGTAAAACATGATCATATATCACAATTTTTGCAAAATGTGTTTTTGTTTTTAATAGAAATACATAATATTAGTGCCTTAATATGTCCTATTGGTTTCACTTTGCAAATTGAAGACTACTCGATTATTTCTCTTTTTAATTCACTACAAATGTATTATTTTTCGAACAGTTCTTTCAAACATGAAGTGGAGGTATGCCACTTATCTTATCTTTTTGTCTTTTGCGAATCCTTCGACAAATTTTATCATCTGCAATATTACATAGACTAGGGAAATAAAAACGTCCATATTAGATAACTATGACAATTCATTTGTTCTATGGTCATATGTGTAAGTGCAGTGATATGTAGACAATGATTTATATGACTTTAAGCCGTAAGATAATTTTGTAAATATTGAGGATATCCTATCTGCAAAAGTAAAACAATCTTCTGCTGTCCAAACTGTAGACATTGAAACACTGGTAGCAGTAATATTTATTTGTTCTGTCTTGCTTGAATTGTCTTTGTCTATCTTTGTCGTACGCCAGTCACTGAAATGAATCGCGGTGCAATGAATTGCGTTGAATGAAATTTCAGTGAATGAAATATCAGTGAATGAAATTCAGTGAAATGTATAGAGTTTGGGACGCTCTTTTGTTGATGTTGTACTCAAGTTTTCAGCTGTATATGGAAATATCGCGAGAGAGGTAAAATTCCTTTAAAAAAGTACTGCAACACATTGACATGCTTACCGGAATAGCCGGAAAGAGTAAGAGCGAACAAAAGTATATTTATGGGAAGTACTGAAAAATATCTTCAAAAGAAAAATACAATGACTCTTCCATAGTTTAAGGCAACCATATTGCATTATTTCATACTGCAACAGGATTAGAAATTCACTATGACGCGACTGTAGGTTACTGAAATATGTTCACAATGCTAGTTACAAATTAGTTCCTAGTTCAGGAACCAACTAGTAGGGGAAATTGAGAGATGTATAAATAAAAATAATTGTATTATTAGACACAAATTTGAATAACGTACATTTGTCTCAGTTAATACCCTTCGAAATAATCTTCCAAGGTTTCCATACATCATTGCCGACGATGAAAAAAACGTTGATTACCATCGACTGCTCGCTACTCGTTCCCGTACCTCCCCTCGCCCTCTGACGCGAGCGGGGGTTGGAAGACGCGAAACGCCCTCAACTGAAGCCGCTTGAAGGCCTCCACCCAACGTGAAACATCACAATAATTCAACGCTCTCACAACCAAAGCTTCCCTTACCTCGATCAGACTACGCTTTTCACAAATTACCGATGTTCCACTTTACATTCATACGCGTTGAGTATAACTGTTGCATATTAATTTTTGCCTGTGCCGACAACCCACGAATGCTCACAGACGCAAATTTTTGGTGCTATCTCGAATGGACTTACAGAGGGTTACCAACGAATGTATTGAACCACCCTATCATGATTTATTACAATGACTGATCCGCGTGCTTCAAAAGCTTACTCCCCCCGCCAACCAAACCAGAAATTCGTTCAAGGGCGGATACAGCCGATCTTTTTTTTTGGGGGGGGGGGAGGCATGTTTGATTTTTGTAAAATAATAAACATATTTATACTATTGTACATTATTTTTGTAGTATATGTATGATTCTATACACGATTATTTTTTAAATAATAATACATACATAAATAAATATTTAAATCAATTTTTACAAATAAAGTAAGATAACAAACGAAAAAACTAGTCCATTTGGGGTCAAGCGGCACGATCCACATGCCCTCCCGTCCCCTGGTTCCGCCACTGAATTCGATGTATCATAAGCCCTAGTTCACTTGCACGTCCATCCATGAATTTTTAAAATGTTTTAGAATTTCAAAAACTTTCAAAAAAGTTTAAACGAAATTTTCCATACTTGCAATTGTTGTTGCAATTGATATTTTGAGTATTAAGAAAACGTACATTCGCAGAATTTTCGATTGGTTACTTCCAAAGAGTGTAGTCATGAGACTCGTAAATTTGGTGGGGCTTCCCGTCACGGGACGCGACGATGCTCTTCCCCGTCGATCGAGAACCGACGCCCACCCGCACGGCGACAGGCGTTTCCCCATCCAGACCAAACCGGTAAAGCCATAATTTATTGCTAATTTTATGAGGAACGTTCTGTTTTTTCACCTGGAATACTCACGTGTGTACAAGGGAAGACTGGAGCACATTTTTACTATTTTTAGGAAAACTAATTTCAAGATTTCAACGGAAATATACATTTTGGGGTTCCCCGATGTCGTTTTTTTCTTTCTTTTCTCTCTTTTTCCCCCTTTTCTCCCTTTTTCTTTTTTTTTCCCTTCAAAACCTCCGTCCGGCTGCCCGTTCCTGAACAACACTATCGACTAAACTATTTGTTGCATTTTTTCCGAAATGAATATTCCCTGGTCGATCTGGTCTATCTCGAAGCTTTGCAATTTTGAAAACATTCTTTAAATTTTGAAGTACTTAACATGAAACCCCTGGGATATTTTCAATTTGTTTTCGAAAATAGCTGCAATATTTTTCTTTAAATTTCGTGTAAGAATAGAGTGAAATATATTTATAAAGATGGCAAAGGTCTGATTTTTCACAGTTAACTATAAATTTTCGAAAATTACAAAATATTAAATTTGTTTGGCATATTCCTAAAACTTCAATATTAAAAATATCTTCAAGCAAATTTTAAAAAAAATTAACTTGTTTATCACAATTACTTCTTTTAACTTTTTTTGAAAATTTGCGTACCATTCGAGCAATTTTTAGTGAAATATTGGCAATGTTTTAAAGTATTGAAACTAGGATTTTTCGAAAATGATTGCAAACTTTTCTTCAATTTTTTGTAGGGATAGTGATAAGTACACAGTGCAAGTTGACGTAAAAAATAATTTCGCTACATTTTTTATTTTATCAAAAGTTTCACAAATGTTTTATTACGTCTTTCTTTCTCGTCGCTAATAATTTCACTACCGCTGTTTGCATACTTTATTGCATATATGAGTACAAGTACTTTAAATCCAAAACATACACGTCACATTTTTTAACCTCTTCAACCAGATTTTTCTAATTAAGCAATTTGAGATTATAGTCAGCTGAAAAACCTAAGAATTAGTTTATCAATAAAAAATTATAAGCGTACCTCTCACATATCTGAGAATTAGTTACAATTCAGATCCTTTATTGAAATGTAAATTGATAATCATGGTCACATACGATATAATTTTATAGGAAGTTTTACTGTTTTATACGTTAATGTTAAAATAGTTTAACTATAATATTTCCTTTTCCTAAGAAATATATACAATGCTACTTTCTCACTACTATAACCAACTAAGGATCATCCATGTTTATATTCTTAATTGCTATCCATTCTGTCTTAACAAATGTCTTTCATAAAGCTTCTTTTTGCCCTTTCTCGGTTTTCTCCCTAAATCATTAACATATAACTCAGCTTTCTTTCTTTTGTCTATATTTTATAGTGCATGTACAAAGACATTTTTTCAACATTTCCTCAGAATTTTCGCGTGTTTTT